CTACGTCACCCGCAGGACCTGTGCGCAACTATCGAGATCATGAGCCTGATTTCTCGCAGATGCACTATACGCTAAGAGGAGTTGAGTCATCGCTGGACGCAGCTCACAGGTAGCTACCCGACTACGAAGGGCAGCAAGGCTGCAAAGGCTAAGTGAATGACTTCCCCCGCTGCTGCGTCTCTCATGTTTCTCTAGCAGGTCGCAAGATGACCCCTCTTCTACGTAAGTCCGCATTGCACTGTTTTGCAGTGTTTCTTTGGACGGTCGCAAGACGACCCCACTTCCACACAAGTCCGCATTATCTTTCTGTTTTTTTCGGATTGATAAATAAATCTGCATACTAGCGAGAAGCTTCATATTCAGTGCCCAGTACGTGGTGACGACCACACCCATGAATCCTTTGATTCCTCTCATCGCATAGTGATACGAACCTGCCAAGCGCCCCCCGCGCCGAGATGATAATTTGTTTTTTTGGCAGGCTCGTGCAACTCACCAAGTGATAGCCCGAGGCTTCCTGGTGCAAATCGTGTCAAACCCTTTGCCGGCCCCTCGCGCGTGAGAAGCGCCGTGTCCGGCACTCTTGCCGGAGCCGAATTATCTCGATAATTCGATCCGAAATCATGAAGTTGCGACCAAACTACGGTGTTCGTCGCCCCGGCTGCCCGTGGCGCCACACAGGAGGATTGTGGTTTCGGTCGGTTCGATCGCATGTCGATCCCCCTTCCGCCGATCTTCCACCTACTTCTCTGCTCTCTGCGTGCGCTGCTCCCGCTATCATTTTTGCCCAGTCTGTTTCAGGGCCCTTGGCCTAAGAGCTACGCCTCGCCTCACCGCGTGAGAGCGAGAGAGAGAGAGAGAGAGAGAGAGAAACAAAAAAAAGCTTTCTGGCGCCGCGCGCCATTCCATATCACATGTAGCAGAGGTGCTGGCCGTCTTCGGAGGAGTTTGGGCCGTCTTCGGGCGCTCTTGGGGCACTCTTGGGAGCCTGCCAGGGCGCTCCTGGGGCTTTCGTGGGACCCTCTGGGGCCCCTATTGGAGCCCTCTTGGGCCGTCTTGGGGCTCTCTCGGGCCGTCTTGGGGCCATCTTGGGGGCCTTCTGGGCCGTCATGGGGCGATCTGTCTGGCCTTGTTTGGTATCGTTCGCACCCATCCCGTCTGCACGAGCCGATGTTGAGACTCTTAGCACGCATGAGAAAAACAACAACTTGTTACAGGACATCGTTTTACAAATATGCCCCCGCGTTTGTTTGGGCCGTTGTGGGCCGCCGTAAGCCCGAAAGGGCGAGAATCCGAAACACCTTCAGACACCAGAGGGGAATCAGTGAGTTTGGCCTCCCGAAGCCCTCTGGAAGGTCCTCTTGCGGGCCTCTTTGGCCGTCTTGCGCCCTCTTGGACCTTCTTGAGGCCTCTTAAGCAATTTTGGAACGCTCGTGGGCTCACTTGGAGCGCTCTTGGGCCGTCTCGGAGCCGCCTTAGACCTCTCTCGGGCCGTCTTCGGGACCTCTTGGGCGTTTGGGGGGGGCCTCTGGGGTCGTCTTGGGAGGAGGGATGGGGAGTGCTACCCGGGCGCTGGCGCGCTTCCCCCCTCCCCTGATGCTCATCTGGTGATTGAACGGTTTGTTTGGGGGGGATTCTTTCGGACCCCCCCTGTCTCGCGCGCGTCCTTATAAGACCCTCTCCCCTGCATTCACTCTCCAGCGCCCTTTTCGGCCTCCAGTCTGCTCAAAACGCTCCCGAGACGGCTGCCAAGACAGCCAAAATGGCACCAAGACGGCATGTGAGGCTCCAAAACGGCATCAAGACGGCCCGAGAGGCTCTCATGACGGCCCAAAGAGGCTCTCATAGGTCCCCCAGGAGTACTCACGGAGGCTAACAACGCTGATATCATATGGCTGAAATTGGTTTGAAGTTCTCACCCGTTTTGCCGTTCGAGCGCCCAAGGCGGCCCAATACACCTCCAAGATAGCTCCAAGACCTCCAAAAGTGCCACAGCCCCAATACGACACTGCAGCGCTCACGGAGGGCAGCAAGGCGGCCCAGAGAGGCCTTCAAGACGGCCTCCGAAGGCGTCAGACGGGCCACGGGCCCCCCGACACTGCCCAAGCATTCCCGAGACACCCCCCACGATGCCCCAAGGGGCCCGAAGAGGCCCCCGAGCAAGCGAACAACACTGATACCCCGACAACGTTTCAATGATATGGGGGCTCTCGCCTGCGTGGGCTCCCGGCCGCCCAAGACGACCCAAGAGGACTCCGGGATAGCTCCCCGAGACGGCCCCTGAGGACCCCAAAGAGCCCCCCCCACGGCGGCCCAAGCAGGCCCGAACCTCGCCCAAGCACGTGCCAAGGAGGCGCCGAGACGGCCCCGAAGCGCTCCACGAGGGCACCGCGGCCGCCCCAGCGGGGCCTCCGAGGCGGCCGCAGACGACTCCAGGCAGGCCAAGAGCACCCCTCCCCAGGAGAACCCCAAGAGGCCTCCGAGGATGCGTATCGCCTTGCTGTTCATATGCTCTTCGTTCGACTAGTTGAATGATCTCGCCTGTGTGGGTTCCAGGCCGCCTCCAATGGCGCAAGAGGCCTCCGAGGTAGCCCCAAGTCAGCCCATGAGGCCCCCGAAGGGGGCCCTCAAGTCGGCCTAAGAGAAGACCCAGGATCGCCCAAAGCTTCTCAAGAGGGCGCCAAGACGGCCTTCAAGCGTGCCAAGAAGGCACCAAGACGGGCCAGAAGGGCCCCCTGGGACTGCCAAGAGGCCCCAAGAGCCCCCCAAGAGGCCCTCAAGAGGCCCCAGCAGGCTCCCAGGAAGCCCCGAGAGAGCCTCTAAGAGGCCTTCCCCTGCTTGTTTGCACGTGTTCCCTCTCCTCCTCCTCCTCCGCCTCCGCCGCCTCCTCCTCCTCCTCCTTCTCCTCCTCCTTCTCCTCCTCCCCCCCCCACCTCCTCCTCCTCCTCCTCCTCCTCCTCCTCCTCCTCCTTCTCCTCCTCCTCCTCGTTCTCCTCCTCCGCCTCCTCATGTTCCTCCTCCTCATCCTCCCCACCGCGCGGATGATGACGAAGAGAAGCTCCCGACCCGCCTCAATGCAGACCGCTCATTGAGCTGCAGCGGGGCGGGAGCTCGACCCCGAACCCGACAGGGCAAATGAGGACGAGGTCGAGTTCACGAAGCGTCCCAGCTCTGCCCGCTCGACGGAACTGCGCTGTCTCGACACTCGGCCTCCTGCGTGCTGCGATGGTGCGCAGACACGGTGGCGGAGTTTGCCGCCTGCAGCTGGAAAACAAACGCATCGCACACGTGCATCTCTGTGTATATATATATATATATGTGCACACCTATATACATGTATATATGTATATACATATATGCGTACAGGCGACCGCAACCATACCTATATGTGTGTAGGTGTATATGTATGCATGCATGCGTACGTGCATGCGTGTATGCATATGTGGTGTATATGTATGTATGCGTGTATGCATACATGTATGTACGTGTGTATGTACGTGTGTAGACATGCATGCATGCATGAATGTATGTATGTGTATGTGCGGGTGTATGCATGCATGCAAATATGCATGTGTGTATGCATGTACGCATGTGTGTAAGTATGCATGTGTGTATGTGTGTATGTATGTGTGTATGTATGTGTGTATGCATGTCTGTGTGAATGCACGTACAGATGTATGTGTATATATATATATATATATATATATATATATATATATGAGCCTCCAAGTGGCATTATCGTCGCCACGCCATTGGGTCCACCTCGACATTCGAATCACCAAGCACCCCAAGACACATCCGGATGGAGCAGGAGCATGTAAGTCGAAGGCGAGAGCACATAAAGGAGAAGTACTCAAGGGAACTTGAAAGGACACGGCCAGATCTCAAAGGCCAAAGAGGATGACGCCGAGTGCCAACAGATGCGAAGCTTGAAGGACTCAGGTGCGTGGTGCGACGCGCCAGCGCAGTCTGGTAGGGGCCCCGATTCTCCACACAAAGGCGCTGTTCGCCGCGGCGAGACGGGGGCGCGCGAGGGCTTTGGGCCCCCCCACGGGGCCCCACATGGGGCACACGGCGGCGCGTTCCCCTCCTCCTCCTCCTCCTCCTCCTCCTCCTCCTCCTCCTCCTCCTCCTCCTCCTCCTCCTCCTCCCTCCGCAACGCTGACCACGGCATCCCCAGTGTGACTCCGATCGGCTGAAAGTCCGACCGACGCCCAGATGCACTCGCGACTCGAAGTGTCTTTTGTCTTCTGTCCCGCGCATCCCCCTGTGGTGCCTGCCGCGGGAGCCTGCAGCCCCAGAATAGAACACCCAGACAAGTACGCATCAACCACGTGGCCCCCCGCCAAGACGGCCCAAGAGGGCCCCGTTGCTCTCCCAACGGCTTCACCAACCGCTGGGGGGGAGAATGCAGCCCACGCTTTCGCTCGACGGCTCACGGCACACGTGCTTGCAAACGGCAGGGGGCGGCGGTGACTCACCAGAATCGTACGGTAAATTCGTGCGGCGTCGGCGCACGCGAAGTTTTTTGACACAGCGCAGCCTCGAGTGTTCAGCCTCGACCGATCGCGGCCCCGATCGCTCAAGGTTGAATCCCGTCGGGTCCTGCGGTGCTTCCGCATCGCTCCATCGTGCGGAATTAAACTTTGAATACCTTCGCCGGCGTCGCCGTATTTGCGTATGACTCGCCACCCAGCATGCTTGGGGGGACCCGCCGAAGACGCCCCCAGGGGGTCCCGAAATAGGGACTCGAGGCGGCGGCACAGAGCTTTTAACCTGCCCCACAAAGGCCCCACGGACCCCCGAAATACGGCCTCCGATTGGGCCCAAGAAGATGCAAGAGGGCCCCTAAGACGGCCCAAAACAGCTGGCCCCTGGGAGGCCCCCGGAGAAGGCCCCCGGGAGGGCTCCGAAGGAGCACCCAGGCGGGCCCGGGAGCGGCCTGCGAAGGCCCGCCCGGGATCCGACGCAACGCAGACGGGGGGGCTCCTCAGTCGAGCAGTATGGCGACATGGCCGCTGGGGCTTCGGCCACACGGGCGTCTCCGACGGGCGGCCGGCGGCGCCGAATCGCCGCAGGCGTCGCCCTCGACGAGCTGCAAGCTGCGCCCGCCCGCTCCAGCACGTCGGTGCTGCACCAGCACGTCCCAAGGATTCTGGAGCCAGAGATCGTATCGGGTCACGGTGGCAGAGCTCCAGGCAGCAAAAGTGTACAACCAGACGCGGAGCGAAGCAGCTGCAAGGAAACACGCCACGAAAGAACTTCCAGTCCTACTCGACAGAGCCAGTGCACCAATGCGGCGTGAACCTAAACGCGTCGCGCACAGCCAGTCACGTCCCCGGCATCGGCAAAGGAAATCACATAAGACATATCCGCTGATGTCGAGGCTGCAAGCCAACCATCCGAACACGGCTTCAACTGGCGAGCTGCAAACTATCAGCGGTCATTCGTTCTTTGAGCAGGGACCGACCGTTCCAGCATTCGTATAGGCCTACCACGACATGCTCTCAGAACCAAGGAATGTCCCAAGAAGAAACCCAAAAAGTCTCAGAACATGGGCCCGCGATGCCCAAAAGCAGCACGAGCTCTCGGCCAGTCATGTTCCAAGAACAGCTCGTGCAGACCACAAGCGGCTCTCAGAGCATTCCGTGGAGGGCCCATAGCCACGCCGGGACGCCTCGCCACTGCTTGCCTTCTAGCGCTGCCGCCCGGCGCGGCGCGGCGCTCCTCCTGGCGCCCGCGGTGCGGGCCCAGGGGCTGTGAGAGCTGGGCGTGCGCGCGGCGCTGCGCAGGCGGCTGGCGGCGCGGCCCCGGCCGTGCCGCGACCGGGTCGACCCCGCGCAGCCCTGCGGGAGCTGCCCACCCGGACCCTTCGCGTTGCGAACAAATCACGACGGAAATTTTTGGTGCTGTCGTCGGACTCCCGGCGCCCTTTTACCGGGCCTACGGAAGTTTTTGGTGCTGTCGTCGGACTCCCGGCGCCCTTTTGCCGGGCCTCAGGGCCCTTCGCGTTGCGAACAAATCACGACGGAAATTTTTGGTGCTGTCGTCGGACTCCCGGCGCCCTTTTGCCGGGCCTCAGGACCGTCAAAAAAAAGCGTCTCGGGAGGAGAAACCGGTCCCGAGGCAGGGGTCCAGACCTCTGGGGGTCGACGTTGCGGAAAAAATCACTACGTCGGGGATCTGGGCATCTTTCACTTCCTCCCCATCCCCTACGACGGCGCCAGGACGAGGATAAAATCGGGGGATGAATCGAGAATCTCTGGGATCCGGCGGCTCTGGAAGATGTCTCAGGCGCCCCGGCCTTCTCAGAGCGTTCTGGAAGCCTTTGAGAGCGTTCCGGGACGCTCTGGAACGGATTGATCCTCGTCCTACCCCGCCCGACCCCCCGGCCTCCCCCTCCCCCCTTGCCTTTCGCCACGGGGCCAGCTTGCTTGCCCTTGTGCAGAGTGAGTTGCGTAGGGCGGGTGGGGGGCAGCTCAATGCAACAAAATCGCGCCGCGCACGTTGCCAAACTAATTGTCACCAGCCGCCAATGTCCGCACGCCTCATGGCCACACACGCGCGCACATCCCTCAATTGTGCACGAGTGTTGAACCAAGCTAGAATGGCAAACAGACACAAGCAGAGGCGAGAATCACTGTCAGTCTGTTCTGACCAACGGCTGCCTGTCAAGCCATAGCACCACCAAGAAACAAGCAACAAAAACGGACCAGCGTGACTGGAGTTTGAGAAGGCACGGACAGATACCGATCGGTCCTCCCCCTGTCTACAGACTGGAGCGATGCAGAAGTGGCACATCCAACACTCTTGGCTTCCTGGCGCAAGGCTCAAAACGGCAATTCTGTGATTGAAAATAAAAACTGCGAAGGTTGCGTAGAACATCTCTGGCTTCTCATGGCACCCCTCCCCCTCTTGGATAATCCTTCCCCTCGTCTCAGTCCTCCTTAGAGAGCTCCTTCCGGCAATCCACGCTCTACCTAGCAATGTGCATGCCGAGACACGAAACTCTTCAGATCTCGCATCCTAAAACACCTGTAGTATCCGCCAGACCCCCTGCGGGGCTACCAGACTGCGGGGATGATGCTTGCTTGCTTGGGAACTTAGATGGGCATCGATGGATCAATGATGTGTTCACGTCGCTCTGAATGCTTATGCTGGAAGTGTTCCAACCAGTATGGGAGTGCATAGAACCTCAGTTCGGAACTCGCACGATTGCCATAATGTGTTGAACTCGCTACCCGAAGTTCTGGATGCAGACTCCCCGATCATCCCCGGGAGGTTCCAACGCCAAGAGATATTCTAAAACCAGCCTTGGCACGAAGTGAAGCGCTGCCGCAGACGTAAGCCCGTAGAAATGAATTATGAGCTGGTGGCCACTGTAATGTGCTGCCATAGTTGACCCCCAATCGGACGAGGAAATGGGACATGATGAGGGACCCGAAGATGATACGTTACATCGATTCGCTGAATTAGAACCTGACTGCGGTGTAATGTCAGCCGGGCTCTATTCGGACTTGATTCGACATACGGTGGAACTTTGACTGGAATCCATCTGGAGCACACTCGCACACCATTCGAACTCTAACCGCGCTGAACCTGGTTCGGGCTCTTACCTGATTCCACTCGGACAGTGATCGGAATCTGCTCGGACCCTGATCTGACTCCACCCAGACCTGGCCATCGCTCGGACGTCCATTCCCTGTGTTTTTTCTGTTTCGTGCGTAGTTTTTCCGTAGGATGATCCAGGATGCTCCTCAATGATCCCCGCCGAGAAAAAGTGCACACGTCCGAGCGATACCAAGAGACCCTGCTCAGAGTCTGTCCGGGACTCAAACTCGCACCATCCCCAGAATGCACTCGGACGGTCCTGCGGTTTTTAGCTGGGTTCCACTAAGAATCTACCTCGGACTCTGAGCGGACGTCACGGAATCTTCACCGGACCTCCATTCGGACCCTATCCGAGCTCTGCTCGAATTCCACCTGGGATCGACGAGAATACGCTGACCAATTCATGCGTATACCCAGAGAAACCCTTCTGAAGACGCCTCAGAACGAATTTGAATGCATGGGGCCGCAGGTGAATACCAATGGTGACCATTTGAATACACACACGAACTGCCTGAACGCCATCCAGAATCTACTCCAATATCCGTCGGGCGGAAAACTTGGACCAAGTGGGCCGCTCAAGAAACACAGATCCCCCCAAAGAGCGACTATTATTTCCACCGGACCCGAGCTTGTTTCGGTCAAGGGTACAACCAATTCACTTGCATGTGGCCACTTTTCCACTTAGCAGAACAAGCGTGCAGGTAACTTTCGACTTACCCGATCCCCAACCTCCTTTTTGGGCCTTGCCGGGGAAACCCCCGCCCTCCATGCAAGCAAGCTTGCCATGTTTCAGGATACGTTCGACTTCCGCCAGTCTTCCGCTGGGGAAGAGATGGCAGCTCCATCTATTCCTCGGATGCGGTGCCCTCCTGGAACGCCCTGGGCCAACTTCAGGGAGTGAGAACTCCTCTGGGCTGGCCTCCAGAGGGTCCACTGGCCCCGCTCGAAGGCTGGGCCCATTGCCGCGGACTCGGCCCGCGCACAGGGCACCAGGCACAGCAGGTCATACCCATGGGCTCGCCGCCTGGCCCCCTCGGAGCCAGTCGTGGGGCGCGCGGTGACACGAACAGCACGCGGCCGATGCTTCCGCCGATGCTTCCGCTTTGCGCGCAGCGACGCGGCGGGGCGGGAGATCGATCGACCTCGGGAAGGAGGGGGAGGAGGAGGGGGAGGAGGAGGAGGAGGAGGAGGAGGAGGAGGAGGAGGAGGAGGAGGAGGAGGACGACGAGGAGGAGAGGAGGAGGAGGAGGAGGAGGAGGGACGAGGAGGAGGAGGAGGGAGGAGGAGGAGGAGGAGGACGAGGAGGAGGAGAGGAGGACGACGACGACGAGGAGGAGAGAGGAGGTGGGAGGAGGAGGAGGACGAGGAGGAGAAGGAGGACGAGGAGGAGGAGGAGGAGGAGGAGGAGGAGGAGGAGGAGGAGAGGAGAGGAGGACGAGGAGGAGGAGGAGAAGGAGGAGGAAGAGGGTGCGGCAGTGGCGAGGGCACGGGTGGACAGAACTACTCGACCCCCGAACAACCACCCATGCTAACACCAACACAGATGTAGGTCGGGCGTTTCCCCCTACAGGCGGATCTTAGACGACATACAAAAAACTTGACCCAAACATATTCAAACATCGTCAACCATAGTTTTTTGAAAAATCATCCCCTGACTACTGTTCGACTATGTTTGAACTTTCCTCCCGTAGAGGGACAGGCCCGACTGAAACATAGATTTCGGGGGCTGGGGGGTAATGGACATCCCCCCGCGCGCGCCCGCGCGCGCCCGCGCGGCCAGCGGCCACGGGCGGGCAGACCCGCACGGTCGCGCGGCCGACGTCGGGGGGGCGGGAGGAGAGGAGGAGGAGGAGGAGGAGGAGGAGGAGGAGGAGGAGGAGGAGGAGGTGGGGGTTCGAACATGCCACGCTGTCCAAGTGCTGGACCCCCCTGGGGCCCCGGGGGCCCGCCGCGCGATCCTCCCGAGGCATGGGCCCGGGGCAGCTCGCCCGCGGGCTCGCGGAGGTTGCGGAGGCCACCAGATTCGAGCAGGGGATCGACTGCAGAATTGAGTTACCCCAGAACTTGTTCTTCAGTCGACATCCACGATGAAGAACGAACAATGTCTTATCGATCTACGAGCTCTCTGCGTATTTGTTTTGAGACTCGAAGAGAAAATCAATTTCAGGGTAGCTCAATCCTGTAGTCGATCCCCTACTCCACAGATGGCACCGAGAGCGCCCGCAGCTGCCCACAAAGGATGCAACAGCACGTGCGACCCTTCCACCGACGCTCTATGTAAGGGCACGGCGGGAAAGAAGCCTCCGAAGACGCAGGTCAAGCGGCAATCCCTTAGGGAGGGACGCCAGGGCCGTGTCCGAGGAACCCGAGAAACTCAAAGACGCCCCCCAACACGGTACCGGAGGCCGTCCTGGCAGCCCCAGGGACCCCTAACATTTATGTTGCTCCCATCGTACTTAAGGACCACATCCCAGAAATAATTTCGAGCACCTTGAAAAGTGTCGAAACAATGTTGAAACAATGTCGAACGAGTGTGTCCCAGGGCCCGACACGTGAAAACCCTCGAGTTTCGGTACTTCCTTGGTGCTCGAAATTTTGCTCTGGTGAAGAAGGCTAAAGTAGGTTAGAACATCAGAACCCAAAATACCCGAAATGGCCCAAGATCGACGCAGCATGACGACAATCACGCCGCTCTGTATGCAAGCTCGCAGGGCGCTGCCAGAATGAGCCGCAGGCGGCGTCGATCTGGCTGCGCACCTCCAGGGAGGAGGAGGAGGAGGAGGAGGAGGACGAGGACACGGAGGCGACAGAAAGATTGGGAACGACTGCGCAGTCCCTCGACACGTCCTTGTGCACACCCTTGGAGGCGTCCCCGCAGGCCCCATGACCCACAAGACACAGAGGCTTGTTTCGCCTCCAAACGTCGGAAGCAACAGAGCACACAGGTTCCTCTCGTCCCTGCCCTGCGAAAAACAGGGAAACCTTGGCATGCAACTCCTGGGGACCAGAAAGCGCAGGGGGTCCTTTAGTACCCCGTGGGGCCCGCAAAACATGTAAGGGGAGCGGTAGAGGCGCCACCCGATGTTGGGAGGCGCGGAAAAAAAAAACCTTAAGTCGGGATGGCCCCCTGCAGGGGGATTTTGAGCGAAAAATTAAGGATACCCCCAACAAACTCCAAAAATGCTCAAACCTAGTCAAACAATAGTCCCCAGACTATGTTTTACTATTTTCTCCATATCCTAAGATGGGGTTATTGCTATTACTTGGACGCCTCCTGCTCCTCCTTCTTCTTCCTCTTCTCCTCCCCTCTCCTCATACCCAGACTTACTCATACACAGACTGACTCACACTCAGACATACTCATACCCAGACTTACTCACACACAAAATTACTCATACTCAGACCTACTCATACTCAGACCTACTCGTACTCGGACTTACTCAGAACTCCTACTCAGAGCTACTCATGCTGAGACTTACTCATGCCCAGACTAACTAATACTCAGACCTGTTCCCAGATTTACTCATACTCAGACCTGCTCGTACTCAGATCTTTTCATTGTATGATTGATTCCACACACACAGCAGATTGTGAGGATGTCTCAGGCGGGGCGCTGGCTTCAGCCCCCCTGAGGGGAGCCGCCAGGGGTTATCTCACGGTCCCGTTCGCGGCCGTTTTGTGGGGATGTCTCAAGCGGTTTGCTTGTTTTCTGTCCCAACATCCTTCGCTTTCGGAGCAGATTTGGAGGATGTCTCGAGCGAGGCGCTCATTTTCACGTCCCTAAGGAAAGCCGCCGAGGGGTTATCTCACTGTCCCGTTCGCGGCCGTTTTGCGGGGATGTCTCAAGCGGTTTGCCTGTTTTCTGTCCCAACATCTTTCGCTTTCGAAGCAGATTTGGAGGATGCCTCGAGCGAGGCGCTCATTTTCACCCTCCTAAGGGGAGCCGCCAGGGGTTATCTCACTGTCCCGTTCGCGGCCGTTTTGCGGGGATGTCTCAAGCGGTTTGCCAGTTTTCTGTCCCAACATCCTTCGCTTTCGGAGCAGATTTGGAGGATGTCTCGAGCGAGGCTCTCATTTTCACCCCCCAGGTGGGCCAGATTTTGAGGATATCTCGATCGGTGGCCAGACTCGTAGGCACATATTCTCCTCAGGATGCCACAGGAAGCTCCAACAGGCTCCAGGAAGCCCCAGGAGACCACATGAGGTCCCAGGAGGCATCAGGAGGCCACAGAAAGACTCAAGAGGCCACGCTACAGGATGTCCCAAGAGGCTCTAGGAGGCCCCAGGAAGCTCCGGGAGGCCTCAGGAAGCCACAGGAGGCCCCAGGAGGCCAGAGGAAGCGCCAGGAGGCCTCGGAAGGCAACAGGAGGCCCCGAGAGGCCCCACGAGCAGGAGGCCTCAGAAGGCAACAGGAAGCGGCTCCAAACAGGTGGCAACAGGTTTTACGTATGCTCCTATAGATTGGGCTTCACTTGGAGCACGAATCCCTGATGTTATACGTATGTTTCTATAGATTGTCCTTCTCCTGTGTACTTATGTTCCTATAGGGCCTCTCCTGGGGCACGAGTCCTTGGTGTTTTACGTGTGTTCCTATAGATTGCCCCCTTCTCCTGTTGCTCCAATCCGCAATGTTTTATGTACGTCTGTTGCTATAGATTGGGCCTCTCCTGGGGCACGAATCCTCCCTAGAAGGTCCCAGGAGGTCCCAGGAGGCCCCAAGAGGCTCCTGGAGGCCACAGGAAGCCCCAGTAGGCTTCAGGAGGCCCCAGGAGGGCCCCAGGAGGACCCAGGCTCATGCGCAGAGACGCGCTCGTACTACTGAGGCTCATTCACACCCCAATTCATTCTCAGTTAGATCCATGACCAGACCGTCACAACTGAAGCCCATTTATATTCGAAAGCTCTTGCGCCTAGACATTCACGGCGGACAGGCCCATGCGAATAGATGCACAGATGGAGAGCTCCACGCAGTGAATATAGCGTATTTTTCGTCGACAATCCCCCTGTATGAGGGACACGCCCGACATAATCCTTTCGTCCGCCAGCCCCGGGACCACAGAGCACAGGGGTTCCTTTCGTGCCGGCAGGCTCGGGATGCACCTGGCACGGTCGTGGGGCACCCGAGCGTCCGGCCCCGAGGCGCACCGTCCTCCACGGAGCAGAAGAGGAGGTCTAGTGGAGCCGAGCGTGCAAAGCGGGTCTCCGCTCTCGGCTTGAGCTGGCGAGCTCGAAGCTGCTCGGGAATTGTCTCTGTGGTCGCTTTTTCGAGCGCTGCGTGCGGTTGGCGTGAGGGGAGGGGGCAAACACCAATGTGATCCGCTCGGAGTAAAGCTACCACGCGAGACCCTCGTCCGAGCAGGACAGTTGCGACGAGTATGGAGGCAAGAGCGCGTCGAGCAGCATGCCAAACTAGGGCTCACCCGTCGCCCGTGACCACACGCCCCGTGTCCACACACACGAGCGCACGTCCGCCGGCCGAGCACCAGTGGTGAGGACCAAGCTAGGAGGGCAAGCGGGCACAAGCAGGAGGCGAGCGAATCCCACCAGCCCTCTGGGCGTAGGTGGTCTAGAGCAGATCCTCTTCCACCCCTCCCTCTTCCCCCTTGGGGAGGGGTTTACCCCTCCCCCTACCCCCTCCCCTGGACCTGGACGGGGGGGGCCGCGGGTAGTTAGAGCGTCCAAGATGGCCCAAGACGGCTCCAAGAGCGCCTCAGAGAACCCAAGATGAGCTCCAAGATGGCTCAAGATAGCGCAAGATCGCTCACGATGGCTCCTAAGATGGTTCCAAGAAGCCCAAAGACGGCCCCAAGATAACTCCAAGTGGCCAAACAGCTCCCCAAGGAGGCCCCGAAGAGGCCAAAATCGTCCCAAAACCTAAGGAAAATCAATGATTTTTGCTTTCTCGCCTTTTCGCTTCCGATGGCCATCCGAGGCCTGGAGATGGCTCCAAGATGGCCCAAGAGGGCCCCAAGAGAGCCCCAAAAGAGCCCCAAGACGGCCCCAAGAGCGCCCAAGAGCACTCCAAGAGCGTTCCAAGAGGGGTCCAAGAGGCGATTTTAGGGGCTTCCGAGGGGGGACGCTAATTAAACCCCCCCTCTTGTTTGATCGACTCCCTCCAAGATGGCCCCAAAAGCGCCCCGAAGGCTCCCCAGAGCGCCTCAAGAGGGTCCCAAGAGGCGCCCAAGATGCCCCAAGGCGCCCAAAAAGCCCTCCAAGAGGCCCTCAAAAGACCCCCAAGAAGCTCCTTCCCCTCCTCCTCCTCCTCCTCCGATTCTTCCTCCTTCTCCGTCCTCCTCCTCCTCCTCCTCCTCCTCCTCTTCCCTCCTCCTCCTCCTCCTCCTCCTCCGACGACGACGACGACGACGACGACTCCTCTTCCATCCTCCCCCTCTCGGGGTCTGTGACAGCTTCCCCCGCCCTTTGTTATTCTGCATGCTCCCCGACTTCCCTGATCACCTCAACTCCCCTGAGCATCGTTTCTGGATGGGCTGGTGGGGATACGCGAAGCGTCAACAATTGAGCGTGAGCAGGTCTGGGAAGAAGGGTGCCGTCGGGGCGTTGACCTAAGGAGGAACCCTAAACAAGGAGCGAGGCCCCTTTGTTCCATAAGTTAACCTTCGATCTCCGGTCGAAAACATAAGGAAAGCCTGAGGCAAGCTGTGAAACACTTAAGGAACGCGGAGCCCCTCCCCGACGAAAAGGGTTCCTTCTTCAGGGCCCCGACTGTACGGGAAGGAGAAGGCAGCTCCATGCAACAGCATCGCGCCGAGCAGGCTGCCAAACTAATTGTCGCCAGCCGCCCATGTCCACATGCCTCATGGCCACACACGCGTGCACATCCCTGAATCGAGCACAGGTGTTAAACCAAGCTAGAAGTGCGTACAGACACAGGCAGAGGCGAGAGTCACTGATACTATGTGTTGGTCCATGGCTGCCTATCAAGCCACATTGCAATCAAAGCATGGTAACACATCCGACGGGCATGCCCTCAGTTTGGAGAAGGCACGGACAGATCTCGGTCGGTCCTCCCCCCCTCTACAGACTGAGGCCTGCGGCGCAGCGGCACGTGCAGCACTCTCGGCTTCCCAGCGGAAGCTTCAGAAAATGCATTTCGGTGATCACAAAGTTCTGCAAACGTGTGCGTGGAACTTGGTGGCTGTCTGGATTCGACTGGCAACCCACCCATCCCGCCCTTGGATAACCATTGCAATCATCTAAGTCCTCCTTCGAGCGCCCCCTCTAGACATCCACGTTCTGTCCAGCAAGTGGAATACTCAGGCACGAGGCTCTTCAAATCTCGCGCCCTAGAGCAACTCTAATATCCGCGAGCCCCCTTGTGGGGCCCCCTTGCGGGGCTACCAAACTCACTACAGGAGGCACGAAGACGCCCCCACCCCAACGACCAAGACAGCCCAGATCTCCAAGATTGCCTCGGAAGGCCAAAGAGACGCCCTCGAAGACACCCGTCAAACTCCGAAGTACACCTCTACCTCCAATATTCCCAGTGGTTTCCAAAACGATTGCGGAAACGCACTGATCAGACGCCCGATTACACGAACCATGACTCAACAAGCCGTTCCCAAGAAGGCACGGGGCGGCGGTGACTCGTTGGAGACGTCTTTATATTTGCGGCACTGGCCCACGTAAGAACCGATACCGCGAGACGCAGCTGAAATGTAAAAACTACTGCCTGTCTCCAGGCAGGTCGTCGAAAGAACTTGGGCCGGTCGGATCGCCAGCGTACTCGCCCGTCATGTGCCACCACTCCTGGGGAGAACAGAAAGGCACCTATGCCGGGTGTCCCCGGACCTCTCCCGCGGGGCTCGTCCTGACGCGGCCTTCCGGAGCGAAGCCGGCGGGGGCCACGAGGGAAGGCTATAGCGGGCAGCGGTGGCGGGACCTTCCCAGACATGCGACGTCCTGATTTTTTCAGAACGGCGTCCCCCGGAAGTCCCGACCCTTTCCCCGGGGCCGGTTCTATTCGCCCTGAGTCAATGTTTGACGGTCCCGAGGCCCGGCGAGGGCTCCCCGAGGCCGACAGTAGGCAAAAACCTTCCGTCCTGATCTTTTTACCCAGACCCCCGACGTCGTGAATTTTTCATGACGTCGACCCCCAGCTGTCTGGACCCATTCCCCGGGACCGGTTTTTCGTCCTGAGTCGTTTTTTGACGGTCCCGAGGGCCGGTATGGGCCCCCAGAGGCCAGAAATAATGAAAAACCTCCCGTCGTGATTCTTTCATAACTCGAGGGGGTCTGGGTACGACGCGTTCATGTCTGGGCTCTCCTCCCTCGCGAGGTCCCCCACGGCCGTGCAGCGAGCGCCTGGGCCCCCGGGGCCGGGGCAGCTGGGCGGTGCGGCCGGCTCCTCCCCCGGTCGGCCCTGGTGGGCCAGGACCTCTCGGTCGGGCGTGTACCCCCTACAGGGGGATTTTCGACGAAACATACAAGAGTACCCCAAAAGATGCCCCCCCCCAAATGCTCAGAAACAGTCAAGAAAAGTCGTCCCCAGACTATGTTTTTTAACTCTTTTTGAGCATTCCCCCTGTAGAGGGACAGGCCCGACTCAGACCTGGAGGAGGCGCACCGCGAGCACGTGCGGCACGTGCTGGATGGCCTCGGGGGGCGGAAAGATACGGACACGTGTTGCCCCCGGACCTCTCTTGGGGTGCGTTCTGACCAGAATTTCGAGGCGAACCCAGCGGTGACGACGAGGATTCCCCAGGAGGACCAGGAAAGGCCGAAAACGACGGGGGACAACACGCATCAGGAGGAGGAGGAGGAGGAGGAGGAGGAGGAGGAGGAGGAGGAGGAGGAGGAGGCGAAGGAGGAGGAGGAGGAGGAGGAGGAGGAGGAGGCGGAGGAGGAGGAGGAGGAGGAGGAGGAGGAGGTATCTTTTCCTCCCCCGAATCGGATGGCCTCCAGCGAGAGGGCGCGGGCGGGCTCCAGCTCCTCCGCGCTGCCCACGCCCACGGAGGTCAGCACCGCCACGAGCGCGGCCTGGCCCGGGTCCTGGGCGGCGCCGGCCGCCAGCCCCGCGCACTCGAGGCAGAGGCTCACGGCGCCCATGGCCTTTAAGTCGGGCCTGTCCCCCAACTGACTACCTACCAGACCACCCCAACCCAACCCGAAGACCCGAATTTGACCCGAATTTCGGGTTGGGGGGGGCACGGGTTCCATGTGTTTTTCCAACGTTCCCCGACCCCCCCCCACTGGAAATCGAGGATAGATTTGGACCTTCGGGTTGGGTTGGGGTGGTTTGTGGGTGGTGACCAACAGGGGGATTTTGAACGAAAAATAACCCCCCAAAAAATGCTCAAGAGTTGCCCAAACATGCTCGGAAAATAATCCCCAGGCTATTTTTTCAAACTATTTTTGAAGATTCCCCCTGTAGAGGGACAGGCCCGACTTAACCATGGCCTGCAGCCGCGGCGTGAGCGAGTTGCTGGCCGGCTGCCCCGCGGCGACCAGGGCGGCGTAGCACAGGCTCTTCTTCCAGAAGTCGTCGCCGAAGCTCGGCGGGATCACCCCGAGCAGCTTGTCCAGCACCCGGAAGCGCTCCTGGAAAGCCTCGAGCCACATGGTCGCGGGTGTGAGCGAGCTGTACGTGCGGAGCAGGTGGAGCTCCATCCTGTGTGGTAGGGCTTCGGGTTGCACTCAGACGGGCTCCACAGGTAGTTCCGGCTGGCGCCCCAGGGCTCGGGCGATGAGACCGCCCCAGGCTGCTCGGTGGGCCTGGCCAGGCCAGCCGGGAATACCTGGGGGGGCTGTCTGCCTGTGCGCCACCCGAAGCATGACCAGTCCTGTGCACGTCCGCCGCGGTGATGTCCGGCATGCGGTGCCTCGTGGGCCAGTCCTGCATCAGCTGGAGCCACACGGTCAGCATGTACTGCGTCATGGCGCTGTTCACCGCGTACTCGATGGCAGAGTTGTACCCCTTCAGCACGGCTCGCGCCGACGCGATGGCAAGGGCTGGCAGTGCGGCCTCGTTGATCTCGCCTGAAGAGTGCGCAATGTTGATGTCGATCTGCATCATCGCTTCCAGCGAGAGCTGTAACCAGCGGCCAGAGACACACATCCTGGGCATCACCAAGGCCAGGAACCTGAACACGAGGACTCTCAATGGCCCCTCGAGCTGCCCCTCAGCCTCCTCACCAAAAGGCCACATCGGACTGCCCTCCTCTTGCCACCAAGCCTCCAAGTGCTGCGAGGTAATTTTTCCTTGGCTCTCAAACACATGGTCAAAAGCAACCATAGCTGCAGCCATTCCGTCAACGCTGTGGACCGTTGGTTGGTCTACCGTTCCGGACAAGCTGTCAGACATGAAATTCGCCAAACACTCAAAGCTGAAATCGCCTGAGACCAAATTGCAATACAAGGAGGGTAAGGATGATGACAAAGACAAGGAGGACGGAACAGGGGGACGAGGGCACGACGACCCGCCAGAGCTCTGGGCGCACACCGTTGCTTGGACCAGCTCTGCCCATACCATCCCCATGTGCGCGGGTCTGTAAACCCGGAGCCCAAAAGTAGACCGAAGTGTTGTCAACTCGTGGGGGGGGCAGATATTTACTCCCGAAGAGATGCCGACCATCCCTCGGAGGCCAGGCCTTCTTCTGAAGCGCACCATGTGGGGGGGATCCTTTCCCCCTCCGGGCAACCCAAGAGGCGTCCGATTTGATTCACGATACAATCTCCAACATGTCATCAAGAGGCCTTCAGCACCCTCCTCCTCCTCCCCCTCGAGAAACTCAAACTGTCATTCGATGGCAGCGCGAGGGCTCTTAACAGAAACCCCATATACGGGGTGCACGTCACCTTGTTGGCATCCGAGCGTGACAACCTCCAGTGCTCGTGCAAACATCCCGCCCGCCCACCCGGAACACGTGGGCAAAATTCACCCGGCGTAATGGCGCGGTGACTACTCTCGTGCGCACACATGACTCGAGCAAGTGAGTATTGATGATGATTGTGGCACTGACGATGAATGAGACGACCACGATGACGATGTTGATGGCGACAATGGATATGAGCACGACGACGACAATTGTGATGTTGATGGGGATGGTGATGTCGGTGGCCATGATAACCCTAGCGATGATGACAACGATGGTGCTGAGGGCGACGGCAACGACCAGGACCATGGTGTTGATGACGATGGTGGGGATGATGATTCTGACGATGGCGATGGTGATGGCGGTGATGGTGATGATGGTGGCATGATTGCGCTGGCGATGATGATTGCGATGGTGCTGTGCTTATGAGGGCGAGGACGCCATGCGCAAAGGCAGCAACCCAGCAATCCAGGCACAGCAACTTCGGATAGCCATTGGGTCCCAACGTGTCGACGAACACCCCTGTGTTGAGAAATGCCTGGAACTCTCTGGGTTCTGAGGCACCTCGACCGCGCGCGGAGAGCCGCGCGCGCGTGGCCCGCACGGCACCGTCTGGCAGAGTTGGCTGGCGGGCGGTGGTCATCATTGAAGGGGCCCCAGGACACACAAATAAATACACACAAATCAACCGATTCCCCCAAATTTTCCCATATTCCCTGGGTTTTTGTCTTCCCCCCTCGCTTCCCATATGCTGGGTGTTTCTTTTCCTCCTGAGTTATGCATGTCTGAGCTGCGCGAGCGCGCGGTCCGCATCTGCGAGCGGGCGCGGAAGCCCAGCAACCTGCTGCGGAAGCAGCAGCAAAAGCGGTTTATCCGCAGGTTTTTGGCGAGGCACTCTTGGACGCCGCTGCTGTCCAACTTTTTGGTCTGCGGGTCGAGAGCGGGCCCCTTCCGGTTCAGAGCTGGGCGGGGCGCGCAGAGCACTTATTTGGGGAGACAGGGCGCGGGCGGGCGGGGCCTCGCACACCGCTGTCAACACTCGAGGAAGAGGTGGAGGATAAGGAGGAGGAGGAGGAGGAGGAGGAGGAGGAGGAGGAGAAGGAGGAGGAGTAAGAAGAGGAAGAGGAGTGGGCGCGGAAGCCCAGCAACTTGCTGCTGAAGCAGCAAAAGCGGCTGTCCGTAGGTGTGGCGAGGCACTCGTTGTGACACTGCTGTCCAACACGAGCGTGCTTTTTTCGACAAAAACGCTGCCGCGCGAACAACGCGCGGGGGGGTGCGTGCGCCATGGAGGCCCGCCTCGTGGGCGCCCCGTGGGCGCCGCGGTGACCTCCGGGCGGGTCCGCCGGCCCGCTGCCGCGTTGTTCGCCCGCGGGGGGGCTCGTGGCCGCCGCCTCGTGGGCGCCCGCGCGCGCCAGGTGCGTCCGCCGAGGCTTCGCCGCGTGGGCGTCGCGTGCCCCGTGCTGGGTCCGCCGACCTTGCAGGGCGGGTCCGCTGGCCTGTTGCTGCGTGTTCGCCCGTGGGGGGCAGTGGGCCGCCGCGTGGGCGCCCGCGCGCCCCCCGGGCGCGTCCGCCGAGGCTTCGCCGCGCGGGCGGCCCGTGCCCCGTGGGCGGGTCCGCCGAGGTGCCGCCACGTGCTCGCCGTCGCTCGGACGCCCCATTACGTGGATTGTGTCGGTGTCGGTCGTGCGTGTTTTTTTGTTTTGCTCGTTGGTCGAGGGTGGTCCTCGATGGTTCTCGCCGAGGAAAAAATGCACACGTGCAAGCGATGCCAGGCGTTCTCGCCAGTGAACACCCTGCGGGGGCCTCGTGGGTCCACAGCTTATGCCGCAGAGCTGACGCAACATCGCCCACACAGCTCGACTCACGCCGCATGCTCTGCGCCGTACGGCTCACAACACAAAGGTCACACGACATGGCTTACGCATTCAAGCCCACACCGCATAACTGACAGAACATAGCTTGCCGTGCAAAAATCGCACCGCATAGGTTGCACAATATAGTTTGGAGAGCCTAGCTCCCAACACATAACCCACACAGCATAATTCACACAACAGACGCACACAATTTACACTAAAAGGATATCTACGTTGATCCTGCACCTCCACATCGGGGGAATGCCGATGTGGCACGCCAAGCGCGCGTGGCGCACCTGGCATGTGCGGCGCACCTCGGGAGTTGCGCGCGACTGAGTGGTGGCAGCATTGGTTCGCGATGGTTGTCGATGGCGACCTGTGCCGACGCAAGTACTCGGGTGCTAGCTCTGTATGGCAAAGCGGGTGGGTGTGAGCGAAACAGGTTGCGGCGCTCCCGCTGGACACTTGCGTCTCAATCCTGTAACTATCCACCCACATTCCCTGCCACGGACACGCGTCTTGGCCGCGATTCCCAAACCCCCAATTCGTTGCAACAAATACCACGCGGTGAACTTCGGCAGACCTTCGCATCCACCCAACCTTCACCATTCAATGAAATAAGAATGCGCGGCATCACCTGCTGATTTTCCCACCGACCCACCCCTCACCATCCGATGCAAAAATACGATTGCATGCACACTTGCGGAACTTAGCTGAACATCGTCCCCACCCTCATTGCACTGCGCGGCAAGTTATGCGGCGCACATCTGCTGATGCGAGCAGCGGTCCGACCCGCGCCGTCCGACGCGAAAAAAACGGTCCAACGCACATCTGCTAGATTTAAACATTGCCCCACTTGGCCCCGAAGAGCCTCAATGGCACAAGAGAAGCGCTTCGGATGCCCATCGCCGACTCCGATTTTGGACCCAGGCGCCCCCCAGGCTGCGCCAGGCGCTCCCGAACGCTCCAAGACGTTCCCAAACGCGCCCACACGACCCAATCGCTTCCCAAGCGCTCTCAAGCTCAGCGCCGCCGCCAGAAGCAACAGCATCCACGTCCTCATCTGCATCTTCCTCGTCGCCGCAAGAGGCCCCTCGTGCAGCTGGTGAATGTAGATCGCATTCGTGCGTTCAGATTGTTGAACAGGACGACCGTATTGCAAGAGTTTCCGGCAAAAGGGATGGCCCCGCGCAAGCTCTTGTTGCCGTTCGCCCTAAACCTTGACCCTGAATCTTCTTACCCTGCCAAGGATGAAGGGCGCGGTGAGACAGGGTGGGGAGGAGAATCGCAGACCCCTCCTCCATGCTCTCCGGCGCAAATAGGGGGGGGGGGGGGGATGGTGGGCCACCCTTCCAGGTCTATACGTCGAGATGATGGGATGAACCGCTCAAACACTAGATCTCGATTTACTATTGTAAATACATCGCCGCGGCCAACTCCCGACTGGGTTCAGAACGACCCGGGGCCGCGATCCCTTTTTGCGACCACCTGCAAAAAAACGAAACGCGGCGCGCATCGGTTGATCGCAAGATCGTCTCATATTAAACCAAAACTTCCCTAGTCATGGTATGGCGTGGGCAGTTTCTGATCTTCACGCTTACCCAGCCGATGGAAAACTGGCGAACACACACATACATCTATATGTGTGTACTATATATATATGTATATATACACATATATATAGACAGACAACCCTACGCGCATCTGCTGACGCCAACACTCACCATCCCCTACAACATTCATGCGGCGCACATATGCTGATGCCAGTGTTCAGCATCCCCTGTAACATACTACCATTCAGTACACACCTGCTGATGTCAGAGCCGCCCAACCATCGCGACCCCTTGCCAACAAAAAGCGCAAGGTAGGGACACTGGCCGACCTGCACAGCGACCCAACGCCCACCGTCCTGGAAGCAAGAGAAAGATTCGGCAAACCTCCGTTCCACTTCGCACCTGCCCAGCCCTCGGAACCCCTGCAACAACTACCATTATGTGAAAAACGCCTGCTCCGCTCGGCGACCCCAACTCTCTCAGACATCCCCGGGCGCCCCCACGCGCGCCGGTCGCTCCCCAGGGATCGACCTAAGCAGTGGTGTTCGTCTTCGTTGTGTGTGTGTGTTGTTGCCCTCGTTTTGACTTCAATGCGCCTCTGCTGCGAAACGCAATCGAAACGAAAAGGCCCACGACATCTCCATAACACCGCTCAGGTCGACCACTTTCGCTCCCCACGCGCTTCCAGGCTCGACGCCGCCACCAGCAGCAGCATCCACATCAGCATCTTCACAGTTTCACCCTCCTCGTCGCTGCAGGAGGCGTCAAGGATCAGATGACTCATATCGCGTTGACGCGTCGAGATCGTTGAGGTCGACGTCATGGGAAAACATAGAGCAATATCTAGGCGCGCCCAAAGATC